GCCCACTACCAAGAACATCACTCTGGGTGCTAAAAAATCAGGCAAGGTACTTCTGCAGTTCTTCCAATCTGCTGCACATGAAGTCCCACTCAAATGTAAGTGAAGTTCCTTCTAACGGCTCCACAAAGAAACGTGTGGCTCCCCTACACTGCTGGACGTTCAGCTCTACACCTGGAGTTCAGCTCAATCTTCTTCAGATTCGAAGTTCCTTCATTAAGTTCTCCCATACAAACCTGTAATTTTATTACCATGTCATAATAAGATGTTTTCCTAACACATAAATAATAAACTTATATGCCAGCACAAAATCTCGCCCTCCGACATCGCACAGCGCTGGTCCAACTGTGGTGGGTACTCCCCCATCTGGGTGAGTTCATGCCGAAATCAAGCACTGACGAGACGCTCGGGGCTCCGCCCCCTCAGTCGCACACTGACCTCCAGCGAGTAAGATATGCTACTCCTCTCTCCAGCATGTCCTCTCATCTCTAACTCCTTATCTATGCAAACTGTCTTAAAAAAATATCAACCCAACATAAGCATACACTCTCTACGATTGTTGGGCACCCGATTAAACACTTTTAATCAATATATCAACTGATAAAATGAGCTTACTGCAAAATTCAAAACGCAGGGCGCTCACTCCGGCGCTCCAAGGTGGCATCACTCACAGACGTCCCACAAAATCACTTCAAGACTGCCACAGAAAGCTTCTCTGCTCCTGACTTGAGCCCATAAAGTCGCCTGGCAGGCACCACACAGAAATACCTACTTATTCGCCTCTACTTGAGGATATAACACATTAGAGTTCCCAATAGGCACGACCACCACTAGGCTTCAGGCCATCTCTAACGTCTCCATAATCACTGAGAAGTAACATGAGTGGCATTCTCGGCAGCTTCCTCACCAGTTATAACTGTAGCCTACACGCTAACACTTTATCCAGTACCGTATTCTTCTATATTCTCAGGACACAGAGACGCACATCCACTTCTGACGCCTTTGGCAACTTCAGTAACGTTACGATGTCCACTAGCGTCACGTCACGTCACAAAAAGTCGACATCCTATTCGCACTTTCATAAGATGCTCTTGCTTGAACTCTTTTAAGTCACTCACTGACGTTTACTTAATATATTTTCTTCCTTCCTCTGACTTCCTAGTTTCTGGTCAGGTAAGCAAAATAACATAACAGGGTCATAACACTATGTAGTAAATACGACACCTCCCATGTAGTAAATACGACACCTCCCATGTAGTAAATACGACACCTCCCATGTAGTAAATACGACACCTCCCATGTAGTAAATACGACACCTCCCATGTAGTAAATACGACACCTCCCATGTAGTAAATACGACACCTCCCATTTAGTAAATACGACACCTCCCATATAGTAAATACAACAGCTCCTATGTAGTAAATACGATAGCTCCCATGTAGTAAATACGACAGCTCACATGTAGTAAATACGACAGCTCCCATGTAGTAAATACGACACCTCCCATGTAGTAAATACGACACCTCCCATGTAGTAAATACGACACCTCCCATGTAGTAAATACGACACCTCCCATTTAGTAAATACGACACCTCCCATATAGTAAATACAACAGCTCCTATGTAGTAAATACGATAGCTCCCATGTAGTAAATACGACAGCTCACATGTAGTAAATACGGCAGCTCCCATGTAGTAAATACGACACCTCCCATGTAGTAAATACGACACCTCCCAGGTACTGTGGTGTACGCGACAGCTCCCATGTACTGTGGTGTACGCGACAGCTCCCAGGTACTGTGGTGTACGCGACAGCTCCCATGTACTGTGGTGTACGCGACAGCTCCCATGTACTGTGGTGTATGCGACAGCTCCCAGGTACTGTGGTGTACGCGACAGCTCCCATGTACTGTGGTGTACGCGACAGCTCCCAGGTACTGTGGTGTATGCGACAGCTCCCAGGTACTGTGGTGTATGCGACAGCTCCCAGGTACTGTGGTGTACGCGACAGCTCCCAGGTACTGTGGTGTACGCGACAGCTCCCAGGTACTGTGGTGTATGCGACACCTCCCATGTACTGTGGTGTACGCGACAGCTCCCATGTACTGTGGTGTACGCGACAGCTCCCATGTACTGTGGTGTACGCGACAGCTCCCAGGTACTGTGGTGTACGCGACAGCTCCCATGTACTGTGGTGTACGCGACAGCTCCCAGGTACTGTGGTGTACGCGACAGCTCCCAGGTACTGTGGTGTATGCGACACCTCCCATGTACTGTGGTGTACGCGACAGCTCCCATGTACTGTGGTGTATGCGACAGCTCCCATGTACTGTGGTGTACGCGACAGCTCCCATGTACTGTGGTGTATGCGACACCTCCCATGTACTGTGGTGTATGCGACACCTCCCAGGTACTGTGGTGTATGCGACACCTCCCATGTACTGTGGTGTATGCGACACCTCCCATGTACTGTGGTGTACGCGACAGCTCCCATGTACTGTGGTGTATGCGACACCTCCCAGGTACTGTGGTGTATGCGACAGCTCCCAGGTACTGTGGTGTATGCGACACCTCCCAGGTACTGTGGTGTATGCGACACCTCCCATGTACTGTGGTGTATGCGACAGCTCCCAGGTACTGTGGTGTATGCGACAGCTCCCAGGTACTGTGGTGTATGCGACAGCTCCCATGTACTGTGGTGTACGCGACACCTCCCATGTACTGTGGTGTATGCGACAGCTCCCAGGTACTGTGGTGTATGCGACAGCTCCCAGGTACTGTGGTGTATGCGACAGCTCCCATGTACTGTGGTGTACGCGACACCTCCATGTACTGTGGTGTATGCGACAGCTCCCAGGTACTGTGGTGTATGCGACAGCTCCCAGGTACTGTGGTGTATGCGACACCTCCCTGGTACTGTGGTGTATGCGACAGCTCCCAGGTACTGTGGTGTATGCGACACCTCCCATGTACTGTGGTGTACGCGACAGCTCCCAGGTACTGTGGTGTATGCGACACCTCCCTGGTACTGTGGTGTATGCGACAGCTCCCAGGTACTGTGGTGTATGCGACACCTCCCATGTACTGTGGTGTATGCGACAGCTCCCAGGTACTGTGGTGTATGCGACAGCTCCCATGTACTGTGGTGTATGCGACACCTCCCTGGTACTGTGGTGTATGCGACAGCTCCCAGGTACTGTGGTGTATGCGACAGCTCCCATGTACTGTGGTGTATGCGACACCTCCCATGTACTGTGGTGTATGCGACAGCTCCCAGGTACTGTGGTGTATGCGACAGCTCCCAGGTACTGTGGTGTATGCGACACCTCCCATGTACTGTGGTGTATGCGACACCTCCCAGGTACTGTGGTGTACGCGACACCTCCCATAATATACACAGCTCCAGCATACAAACAGCCAGAATGACATGTTAATGAGACTGACAATCACACTGATGGTAGGTAATACGTCACAATCACCCTTAGAGTATTGTTCCAGGCAACACCATCCAGGGACACAATCACCGTTACACTCACTCGCGTTACCAGGTGTATACAGCATGTAGTTCTACGAGCCTTGTAGTATAATATAGAATCCTTGCTGGTTGGTCAGTAAGGTGTTGTGGTGGCCTTAACAACCCTCCAGAGGTTGATAGGCCTAATAACTCTCTGTAGGCTGTCTAAGCCTTAATTCCAAAAGCCAAACAAGTCTGCAACACCCACCTAGTATCTTCCACATGAACTTTTTTTTTGCCATGAACTTTGGAATTGAATTACCGAAATTGAGTCTTAATTGAAAGTTAACAAAATTGAAAATCTTCTGCAATGTTGAATCAGACTGCAACATTCCATCATTAAAAAAGGTCACTTGATATGCAATGCTCTTTGACATTGATCTTTTATGTCATTGGTCTTGTAAATGTTGCATGTTTTCTCGAGAGTTTGAAAAGTTCAATTCAGAAGGTTGTTGCAGTTTGCAAGTGGTTCTTATCTTTTGACTTAAGCAACAGATTCAACGGTAAATTCATAAGTAATTTTGCTCAAACAGATGTTAATGCCTTGTGTGGGATGTTTTCTTGCTATCATTGATGTCATCTGCCACATTGATGTGTTGATAACATCTGATAAAGGTATTGATGACATCTAAGAGATTAATGAATTAATGCCACCTGACTGACTGACTGAGGTATTGATGACACTTGACAGACTCGTGTATTGTTGACAAATGACAGGCTATAGTATTGATGATAACTGACAGAGGAATTGATGACAGCTGACAGCCTGAGGCATTGATGACACCTTACAGACTGTGGTACTGATTACACCAACAGAATGTGGCATTGATTTCAGATGACAGCCTTTGCTATTGATGACAGCTGAAAGACTGTGGAAGTGATAACAAATGATTGACGTATTGATGACAGCTAACAGACATTGATAACACTTGTCAGACCTAAGTGTTGATGTCACCCAGCTGAGGTATTTATGACTTCAGATAGGCCGTGGTATTGATAGTACCTACTAGAGCTTGGCATTGATGACATCTGACATAATGACGGATTGATGGCACCCGTCAGTATGATACTAATTCCACCTGTCAAAATGAGGTATTAATGACACTTGACAGACTGGGGTATTGACAGCATCTGTCAGAAAGAGGGATTTATGACACTTGACAGACTGAGGTATTGACAGCATCTGTCAGAAAGAGGGATTAATGACACTTGACAGACTGAGG